GGAGATATACAGATAGATCAAGTGAGAGTTAAAAATCCATGGACCCACCTGCATGCATTGCCAAAGCAGCTATGGCTCTCACATCCAATGGTCTTCTTCCCTATGTATCGAATCAGCAGTCGGCCCAGAATCAGTCTCCATACTGACAGCCCCATTTCCATTTCCCATGGGATGCTCGCCACCTGCGGGAATTCTTTGCCTTGCTCGAAATGGTTCTTCTCTCTGATTTCCATCTTGCTGCGTTCTTGCCTGCGCATCATGCCTCACGAGTTCATCAGCTGATGCAGGAACTTGATGAGGACCACGCAAATCGTGCAGCTCCTCTTCCAGCCTTGCGATCTTCTCTCTCATTTCATCTACCACCTTTCTATTCTCGTCAATTGCCTGCTCAAAGTCAGGGTCTGGCACCAATCCAATCCAATCCGAGATACAAGTATCCCCAGCCAAGCACATTATCAATCAACTCAAAAGAGAGTAGACTACTAGACTCTAGTAAGTGTTATGATCCTGGCCAATTTCGGAGTACACATTCATCAGAAAGTACAATGCCATCCACTTGCAAAAAGAAATGAATGAACTTGAGAGGAGAGAGAGGGAAAGAAGAAGAAGAAGAAGAAAGAAGAAGAAGATGATGTACACCAGCATAGACCAATGATACCTCCGTGTCCTTGCTCCTTCTCCAGCAGCGCTAGCTCCAGCCAGCGCTCCAACCAGTGTGTCACCAAACTTCCAAACCGACAATGAGTAGCAACTGGCTCCTCCTGGAGATCTAGCGGCCTGCTTGCCTCTTGGCGAGTGACTTCCTAGGCCGCGGGCCTCCAAGCAACCGGTACCTCCTCCCTTTTGGAGGGAAATATCATTGCAGACTCTGATATTACCCGTACAGGCCCTAGACTCAGACTGGTTGGCCTGGTACCCTCCTAGACCTAGCCTACAACTACTGGGCCTCTAAAACTGCCAACTTTTGTCTTCGTCTGCTCGGCCTCGAGTACCCGGCACATCTACCTCTACCTGGTGTGGTACCAACCCAGCTGCTACTTGAGTGTTTTCCGCTGCTTCAAGTGTCGCGGGCCTCTTCCCCCGCCACTTGAGTGTTTTCCCCTGGTGCAATCCTCGATGTCACGGCCACAGGTAAGTACCGGCTGTCCCCTTTGGGCCCACTGAGCGAACAAGTGCCCTTGCGGATCACACACACGCTCAAGCCGACAAGCACTCAGACAGACATGCAGACCAGCAACCGTGCACACACACAGACTTAGAGAACTCAGTAACAAGCGGGAAACTCAGCAAGGCATTCATTCCATGAGCAAAACTCAGAAATCAGCTGTGTGTCTCAGTCCGTGTTTGGTCAGGTCCTTACATAAGTGGATAACCATAATGAATTATTCACGAAAACAAGACCAGGTTCCTCTCTGTGGGTTTTATCTGAAAAGACAAAAGGGTCCAAGCAGTGGGGTACGACAATTCAAAAAAGAAAAAAGAAAAACACAGCTCCTTACGGACCTGGCTCCGTATCCATCCTGGGGAGCATCCATCTGGTTCCTGTTCCACCGGCGAGTCTGGAAAATACAACACGAGCACACTCACCCATGACGGCTCCCCAGGTTATGGACCCGGGAATCTTGACAAGCATTCATTGCTTCCGTCGAAGGATCAACTGCCAGATACACATATACCACAAAGCTTCCCCCCTATCCTTCTAATAAATTTAAACCACCAGCACCTATGACCCTTCCCTTGCCGAGCTTAGAAACACCCTGTGGGCCAAAAAAGAAAACATGAACCCGCGAGTTTTCTTATATGGCTGGTGCTGCCAGCCATTTAGCTCCGGTAGGCCTTATAGACCGATTTAATGGCCGCGTCGGAGAAAAATGGCTGGGAAACTGGTAAACATACTTGCAAAGATACTGACATCACTCGCAAAGCAACATGCAATTGAGAGCAATCAGATAAAGCTCACATGAGCTTGAGATTTGGCCATGAACAGTGCAAATTCGAAGTTCCACTCAGATACAATAATATACAATTGGAAAAGTTTCGGAAATTCGGCGGTACCAACTGCTGAAACAACCCCCGACTCAGATCCCAACTTTCCCCTGTCCGATCTGCTGCTTTTCTCTCTGTTTCTCTCTCTCCCTCTCCTCTCTCTCTCTCACCTCTTCTTCCTTCTCTGCACTCTTCACCCTCGTTGCTCTTCCTTTCTGTTCTCTCCTCCGTCTACGTCCTAGATCTACCCTGAATACTACTGCACTGTGTCTCTCTCAACATCAGGCGGTAATGGCCGCCAAGTCTGCTTTTCCCCCCTCCTGGCTATGGCCGTCTCCTTCAGCCAGGGCGCTGGGTGTCTTCTCCCTTCAGCGCCCTTCTTCGTTCAGGTCACTAGTTCGCACAGCTCCAACCGCGCTCCACAAATTTGCGAAATGAACAACAGCCTGCCGTCTGGTACTGTAGCCCAAAATATATTGTTTTCGTGGGCTGGGCCTACCTGCTTCAATCAGTACTGGCCTTCGTTTGCCTCTGCCCTGCCAAGTTGCTATTTTGGGAAGGTTCTCACCTTTCTCGTGAGGCTGCTGCAAAAACTGGACCTTTGGGGACTGGCGTGATCCTACAGGTACTGTTCCTACAGACCTACGACGCCTAGACCTACAGACCCTAAGATTTAACTACCAGTAGGGCCTGCGGACTGCAATAATTGGGGACTCTGTAACAGGGACTGGTAGGCTTGCAGCATGAATCCATTCACTTCCGCCGGCCTAATTTCAAGGTCCTCCGAGAAACCTCCCTCTACGACCTGTATGGAAGGTATCCTCAACTACAATTCTGTCTACGTTGGATCTTCCGTCCAATTGGTGGGATCATGGGTCTGCGTGAGGGAAATGCATGATTAGTCACACAAGGAAGTAGCTTAGAAACGTGAAAAACCGAATAGGTGTGCAGATGGGGTGGAATCACAATGGTGTATGACGGTCCATCTGCATCGCCCTTAACATCTGACACTTGCCACGACCCTCTATAGGTGGGAAGCAACTTCTGCGAGATCCCTTCCTCGGGAGAAAACTCTTTAGACTTGACCCAGACAAGATCTCCTACCGCAAACTGTGACGGGCAGCGGTGTTTGTTCGCTTGTTCCACCATCTGATGCTGGGCCTTCCGGATGTTCTCAGCAACACGCTGCAGATCCCTCTCATACTGGACAACAAACTCGCATGTACCAGGTGGTAGTCTCTGGATCTAATCCGGATTCAAACAGTCTATGGGACATCGGGGACTCCAGCCTCTATGAAGCTCGTTCGAGGTCCGCAAGGTAGCTAGGTGAACTGAGTTGTTATACACACTAGCTACTTTGGGAAGGTGCTCATCCCAATCTATCTGATCCGTCTTATATACATATGCAATACTTGCTATAAGATTTTGTTCATTTGCTCGGTCTGGCCATTTGTCTCAGGGTGGCGCCCAGACGACATCGCTAACTTCGATCCATAGACCTTCAGTAACTGTTGCCATTCTTCCCCTGTAAACCGGGTATCTCGGTCACTAACTATAACAAAGGGGTGGTGGATTGATGGCGGAAATAGCTTAATGGGTGACCATAATCCTTGACCCGGTGGTTAAAAACTGTTTGACGAGCAGATTTGTCTTCGCTTCAGCAGGTAATGGTACAAAAACGGCGAATTTACTAAACATGTCAACTATAACCATAACCTGAGTCTTCCCACTACTACTCTTGATCTTAGTATCCACAAAATCGATAGATACAGATTCACCGAGGCCATATGGGATAGGCAAGGGTTTCAACAGTCTGGGGGGAGGCCGCGTGAAACTCTTGTTCCTCTGACATACTTGGCAGCCTTGGATGTAGGCAATGCAATCATGCTTCATGTCAGGCCAAGTGTAGGATCTGAGCAGTGTAGCGTAGCTCTTTCACCAGCCGAAATGACCTTCAGTATCATGGCATTCCCCTAGATGAGACTGCATCTCTCTTCACTATTCGGCATGCATAGCCTATCATGCACATCAGTCTTCTCAAATAGCAATTCATCGATCATTTTATAATCAGGAACTTCCTGAGGTGTGGTTTGCACCGTCTTTATCAACGCACTGTACACAAGACCATCATCGTAGGCAACTCTAATCTTTTGTTGCAGGTCTACGTCAACGTCTATGTAAATCACTATAGCACCGAAGAGATCTGCACGTTTTCTCAATGCATCAGCAACAACATTGAACTTATCCTAGACTGGTTTCAATTCAAAATCAAACTGGTCAATCTCCCCAGCCCACCTAGTCAGTTTAGGAATCATCCGGGCCTGAGTCTTCAACCAGCGCAGAGTCTCATGGTCTGAATATACCTTGAAGTGTCTCCCTAACAGGTAGTGTCGCCATTGGTCTAAGGCTTGCTTGAGGGCGAAGAGCTCACGCTCATAAGTCGAGGCTGCTGCCTTCTCACTAGGGAGCCTGCGAGACATAAACTCCATGGGTCCGTACCCATTTCCATCATTTTGTTGGAGAACAACACCAATGCCATACTGGCTGGCATTGGTAGTAACGATAAACGATAAAGATGGATCAGGTACTTTAAGGACCGAGCACTCGATGCGGGACTTCTTCAACTTCTTGAAGGTTGATGTACAGTCCTTGTCCCAGTTCCAAATAGTTTCCTTTCACAACAGCCTGCGCAAAGGAGCAGCAATGAAAGTGAAATTACGAACGAACCTCCAATAATAGTTGGCCGGTCCTAAGAACGACCGCAACTCCGTCAATGTGTGCAAGGTTGGCCAATCACGAATTGCTGCTATCTTGGTGTCCTCCGGTCTCACTCCATCTCCATCTACTACATGTCCCAGATACAAGACTTGGCGCTTGGCCCATTCACACTTCTTCGGATTAATCTTGAAATTGGACTCTCGCAACTTAGTCAATATCTGACGCAGATGATTCTGGTGCTCCTCCAAGCTCTTGCTAAAAACCAGAATATCATCCAAGTAAATTACAACAAACCTATCTAACCAATCTCTAAACAGATCATTCATGCATCTTTGGAATGTTGCAAGGGCATTAGTCAATCCAAACGGCATCACCACAAACTCATAATGACCATAGCGGGTCCAGAAGGCCGTCTTATGGCTGTACCTCAATCTGATGGTACCCAAACTTCTGGTCAATCTTGGAGAAATACTTGCATCCCTGCACCTTGTCTAAGAGATCATCAATCCAGGGCAACGGTTCAACATTCTTGATCGTGATAACATTCAATCCCCAGTAATCAATGCACAAACGCGGTTCACCCTCTTTCTTCGACATAAACAAAACAGGTGCACCATACGGTGATATACTGCGTTTTATCCACCCCTTCTCAATCAGCTCATCGAGCTGGCTGTGCAATTCATCAAACTCCTTGGGA